AGGACGGTGAGATATACGCCACATATAGCCTCTCTGATGGCGCCGCGGTCACAAGGTCTGTGCTGACCTACTCCGGCGAGTATCTCATGCAGAGCTGGAGCAGCAGCTCATCGGCATGGGTTGTTCTTTTGAAGTGGTCATCCGCTGGATGCAATGGCTATGCTTACTGTGGCCCCTATGGCTACTGCGACGTGACAACAGCGCCAGTCCCAACGTGTAATTGCCTACACGGCTTTGAGCCAGCAAACAAGTTGGAGTGGACCAGTGGCAGGTTCTTGGCTGGGTGCCTGCGGAAGGAGCAACTGCACAGGTGTGGCGGTAGCTTCTTGGCCTTGCCGGGGATGAAGTCACCAGACAAGTTCGAACTCATCGGAGGGGGAATTAGTACATCCGAGGAGTGCGCCGCGGAGTGCATCCGCAACTGCTCCTGTGTGGGGTACATGTACCGCAACATGAGTGGCAGCAGTTTAGGAGGTGACATGGCATGCATGGTATGGGCTGGGGAGTTGGTTGACACCGGAAAGGTTGGCGTAGGTGGCGAGACAATCTATCTCCGACTTGCAGCAGGTGGTAACATATTTCAAAATTTCCACACCTTCTACTACTAGTTTTGTCATTTTACTGTTGATTTGGTCTTTGCTAACATACTTCTAGTACTATCAGTCCTTTTCCTTTTCTTTATCGTATATTTATGTATGGTGCAGGTAAAAGGAGAAAGATCAATGCAATCAGGTTTGTGCTGTCAGTTTTAGGCGGTGCTGTTCTCATATTCATATGCTTCTCTTTTGCATGGTTAAAATGCCAAGGTATGTTTAGTTGCATCTCCTTGCAAAAAGTTGTATTTGACGACGACCTTATGAGAATGTCATTTGACTATATAAACATGGAATTTGACTTGTATTACCACAATATACCCTTGGTTTCAAGAATCATCTAAGCCCCTTGAATATGTAAAAATAATTTCAATTTGACTACATAAACTTTGAATTCTTCGTCTACTACCAAAATATACCCTCTGTTTCAAAAAACCTATAAGCTCCATTGAATATGTCAAACTAGAGCAAATAAACAATTTAGGTGCTTTTGTGTGCGTTTTAGCCATCATACCATCGATTGTAATGATAAGGGGCAATCTACTAGCAACTAAGATGTAGTCCACGTGCTAAAATCTCTACACATCAATCATTGTGGTTTCATGCTTAGTCGGGTTTGGAAACAAAAAAGCAAGGTCAAGTCACCATGCCTTGAACTCGAGGATAGTGTCTGCGTGCGTGTGTGCTTTATTAGAGGCGAGGTCAAGTGTGTTTTTCAAACATGCGGTCTGTGTTCTCTATGTCAAGTGATAGCCATATTGTCCGGAATGCGATTTTGACGTGGTGGCAACTTGCCTTGTGGGTTATCTCCTCTTCTATGCAAGTTCATAAAGGAATGTAAATGAACATCTGCAATTTAAGGGATCAAATATAACTTTTTCTTTCTAATGCCTATGGTATGCTTATTAGAGAGAAAATGACAATAACCGTGTGGGAGCAGGAAAGAATAAAAAATGGAGAAAGTACAAGATTATAAGATTGGTTTGCATGAGTACAACTCATGAAATCGGGGAAGAAAATCCTCCTCATGATCAAGAATTTCCATCTGTAAGATTAGAAGAAATTGCCCTCGCAACACACAATTTCTCTGAAGCATGCATGATTGGACAAGGAGGATTTGGAAAAGTTTACAAGGTAGTTTTTCAACGCACAATTCCTGTTATTACTTCTAAATTAGAACAAGTGCTTTGCTCATACGTAAATCAAAAACATATCTTTCTCTAGGGACTGTTAGGTGGTCAGGAAGTCGCAGTCAAGAGGCTAAGTAGAGATTCTCAACAAGGAACAAAAGAATTCAGGAATGAAGTAGTTCTAATTGCAAAACTGCAACACAGAAGTTTGGTCCGACTTCTTGGATGTTGTGATGAGGGAAATGAAAAGCTCTTGATATATGAGTATCTACCTAACAAGAGCTTAGAATCTAGCCTTTTTGGTAGACATTCTAATAATAAGCCATGATTTCGTAAAATAGCCCAACAATATTTTTTTGCTTACATCTGTTTATTTTTTAGATGACTCAAGAAAATTGTCGCTGGATTGGGCGACACGGTTTAATATCATCAAAGGGGTGGCCAGGGGGCTTCTATATCTTCACAAAGACTCAAGGATAACCATAATTCATAGGGACCTCAAAGTTGGAAATATTTTGTTGGATGTAGATATGAAACCCAAGATAGCAGATTTCGGTATGGCGAGAATTTTTGGTGATAACCAGCAAAATGCAAATACCCAGCGTGTAGTTGGCACATAGTGAGTATCCATTGAAAAAACCCTCATATTAATGGTTTTATAATTTCAACTCCCATTAAATAATTCAGACAATTTAAATGCAGTGGTTACATGGCTCCTGAGTATGCAATGGAAGGCTTCTTCTCTACCAAGTCTGATGTCTATAGCTTCGGCGTGTTACTGTTGGAGGTTGTAACTGGTATAAGGAGAAACTCCATTAGTCAAATGATGGGATACCCCAGCCTCACAGTCTATGTGAGTGCACAAAAAACTTCTCTCAAGTTTCTTTTCTAAAGTTGGATCAAAATTTTCAACCATTTTTTTGTTTGAGTGACTAAATAATATTGATATGAATTTTTTGGTTATTTTAGTCATGGAATATGTGGAAGGAAGAGAATACCGACGAACTGCCAGACTCATCCATCATAGATACTTCACCAGACGAAGTTTTGCTTTGCGTCCATGTAGCACTCCTATGCGTCCAAGAGAACCCAGATGATAGGCCATGCATGTCATCTGTTGTGTTCGTCCTAGAGAATGGAAGTACCACACTTACAACCCCCAACCGCCCTGCCTACTTTGTGCGAAGAAGTGCTGAACTGGATCAAATAAGAAATATTCAGACTTCTGTCAACAGTTTCACTCTTACCGAGATAGAGGGGCGATGAAATAATAATTCTGTAGTTTTTTATGTACTTAACACTGTTGTAAATTGGCTGGCTCACAAAATAGTGATGTCAGTTTTTAAAGAAGACAAAATAGTGATGTATCATGTGTTGTTCAGATGCCAATATCTCTGAATGTGTTTTCTATTCCGTTTCTGCCTCAATATAGCAGTCTCAGTTAAAAAAATAAATATGATGACACTTGAACGAAAATTAGGACTATAGGAGAACAAACAACTCCACGAAAGCGACCTGGATACAAGTGATCAGGTGTAGTGGCGTTCTGCTCTGCCGTCCTTGTACAAGTTCTGTGTTTACTTGAAAAAAAATGGCAGGATGGTCGGACAAAATTAGGGTGCATCATGCTGTGCAAGTACTAGATATTTAGAGGTCAAAATCCACACTTCGGTACTAAATTTGGATGGTAGATTTGATAATAATCGACTTTTGGAAATATTTTTGTAACTAGGAAACTCATCGCCCATTCGCCCCAATTGTTTGTAACTAGAAAATTATGTTATGCGAAGTGACAACTGCTTCATGTATGTACGGTTGAAGAATCAATCTGGAGTAGGAGCCAAATACTGTAGTTGCTGCAGTCTCATATATGCAACACTTATTTACTTGACCAGTATATAATATATATATATAATATATATATATAATATATATATATATATATATATATATATATATATATATATATATATATTGAAACGAGGCAAAAGTCTCATATATGCAACACTTATTCTCAAGTCGAAGTATATATAATATCGCTGTTGTTTTTCAGATTTCTACTGCTGCTGCCAGATGTCAATACTTGATTTCTTGACTGTGAACCGAACACTAAGGATGGATGACATCCAACAATCAAAAGTCCGACGTACATCGGTACATGTACGTATTTTATTAGTTTTTAGCTTCAACTTGAGAATCGATAATTATATTCATGTACTAGAAAACATAAATAAAGGGCAAAGGGAGGAAAAGCAAGGGAAAAAAGGGAAATCATGCTGACATCATTCAACTTAATTAAGCTCAACCAACTAAACATCTAGACACATCCTTACAGCAAAATACTATAAAAGTCCGCTCTTCTTACGGCTTGGCTATTATGCTTCTTACTTGCTAACACGAACTAATGAAACTAGCATTCCAACTTAGTCTTTGATAGGGAAACAATGATCTTTTTTCCTTCTCAGAAAATGATTGGGAAACAATGATGGATCAACCACGTTACATAAATAACTGCAAGTTAGGTTGTCTCTTGCATAGCAGTTGGAAAGAGATAGGTAATTAAGTTGTGGGTGCATTGATGACCACGTCGGAGCTGGACCATATATGATCTGGCCGGGTCAGTATAGCTCAATGTCTCTGTTACTAGTATAGATATACTAGTTGAAAATCAATCATTGGTTACATGGTTATAGAATGATAACTGTATTTTTCAGCCACCACGGACATGAATCGACCTCTTTAAGTTTGACTCGATCTGTCTGTCTAAATGCGAATTTTACTTTTAGTGGTGGGTGCATTTCCTTGTCGCTAGCAATACATCCACTGTAACTTTGTTAATTTTAAAACTACATGACTCTTCTCTTCAGTACGCGTGTGAGAACATAAGTATTAGGTGTGCATCTTTTAGTTGTTTTGAAAAAATAATGCAAAAAGGTGCAAAAAATATGGCTATCTAGTCAGCAGTGATGGTGGCATTCCAACTTCAACGTGGGCAGCTGGATTATAAAATCCAACGCACTCAGACTTTGAAACCAACTCTTCGTGAATTCCACAACTTTCCATTATATTCAATAGTCTGCTTCCTCGACTGAAATTTCGTGGATGCTGCCTGCCTACGTTTGTGGAAACATTTTTACTTGTAGATCATGGTTCGCTACAAGTGCTTTCTCCATGTCCCTTCGGTGACATCAGATAAGAAGTTCTCCATTTAGCAGCATCAATATATAGCCTACAGCTAGTTACAGCTTAGTAACTAAGATTTTTGCCTCGTCGATCGATGTATTTGCCAGCTCTCACTTGCTGCATCACGGCTCTAATCATTCTACTCCTGCCGTTGAGCGCTTCGGATGACCGGCTTGTCCCTGGCAAGTTGCTCTACCCCGGCAACACCATCATCTCCGATGGTGGTACGTTCTCTTTGGGCTTCTTCAACCCCTCCAATTCCACTCCAGCCAAGCTGTACCTTGGTATATGGTACAACAACATCTCTGAGTTCACAGTTGTGTGGGTTGCCAACCGTGAAACCCCAATCACCAACAACACTTCCTCTGCACCGATTCTCTCACTCACCAACGCCTCCAATCTCATTATCACCGAAGCAAATAATAGTGGTCGTGTCCTCTGGATGACGGCCAACGTGAGCACTATTACCCCAGGCTCGTCTACCCCAAAGGCGGTGCTTCTGAACACCGGAAACCTAATCATTCGCTTGTCAAATGGCACCACAGTGTGGCAGAGCTTCGACCACCGCACAGACACGCTCCTCCCAGGGATGAAGATGCGGATCAAATACAACACACACGGCACTAGGGATCGTCTAGTATCCTGGAAGGGCCCAGGCGACCCATCTCCAGGGCGCTTCTCCTATGGTAGCGACCCAGACACACCCCTTCAAGCATTCCTGCGGGACGGGGAAAACTTGGTGACCCGTGGCAACCCATGGACAGGGATCCAAGTGACTAGCTTTAGCAAAAACCAGTTAGCAGGGACAATAAACATTAGTGATCTTATCATGTACATAGCCATTGTCGACAACGGTGATGAGATCTACGGTACATATAGCCTCTCTGAGGGCGCCCCACTCACAAGGTTAGTGCTGACCTACTCAGGTGAGTATTACCTCAAGAGCTGGAGTAGCAACTTGTCGGCGTGGGTTGTCCTTATGAAGTGGCCATCTATTGAATGCAACCTCTACGGTTATTGTGGTCCATATGGCTACTGCGATGAGACAACTGCACCAGTGCCAAGGTGCAAGTGTCTTGATGGCTTCGAGCCAACAAACATGGCGGAGTGGACTAGCGACAGATTCTTGGCGGGATGCCGACGGAAGGAGCAACTACACGGGTGCGGCGGCAACTTCTTGGCCTTGCCGCAGATGAAGTCACCAGACAAGCTCTCACTTATCGGAGGGGGAAAGAGCACATTTGAGGAGTGCAGGGCGGAGTGCAACCGCAACTGCTCCTGCGTGGGGTACGTGTACCGCAATGTGAGTAGCGGCAGGTCTGGAGGAGATATAACGGCGTGCATGGTATGGTCTGGGGAGTTGGTTGACACTGGAAAGATAGGCGTAGGCGGCGAGACACTCTATCTCCGACTTGCAGGCATGGATGCAGCAGGTGGTAACAACTTTCAACTTTTCTGGCTTTCTACTACTATTTTTGTCATTTCTACAGTTGGTTTTGTCTTTGCTAATGACATACTTGTACTTCTGTCGGTCATTTCACTTTTATGGTACATTTATGTATGATGCAGGTAAACGTAGAAAGATTAATGCGGTCAGGATTGCGCTGTCAGTTTTAGGCAGTGGTGTTCTGGTACTCATATGCACCTCTCTTGCATGGTTAAAATGCGAAGGTATGTTTAGTTGAATCTCCTTGGAAAAAAGTTCTGTCTAATGACCTTATGAGAATGCTGATTTGAACATAAACTTTGAATTTGACGTCTATTACCACAATATACCTCTAGTTCCAAAAATCCTCTAAGCCCCTTGAATATGGAAAACTTGAGATTTTTTAAAGTCAATTTGTGTGCGGTTTAGGCATCGTGGATGTAACATTAGCCCTGTATCTACTAGCAACTAAGGTGGAGTACATGATAGAGTAGAGTATGTCGATCTTAGTGGTTTCATGCAGCAATGACTTCTTTTTAAATATTCTATGTTGATGGGGTTTGGAAATTCAAAGTGAGGTCATCTCTTGGTGGTGTTATTGACACAAGGGCTCTCTATGTTCTCAAGTGCTAGCCATATTGTCCGGCCCGTGATTTTGACATGGTGGCAACTTGCCTTTTCGGTTACTTCCTCTTGTTATGTGAGTTCATGAAGGGAATAGCGATGAAAATCATCAATTCCTAGGATCAAATATAACTTTCATTCTTTCCTATGCCTATGGTATGCATCTTAGAAGGGAAATGACTATAACATTGTGGGAGCAGGCAAGAAGATAAAATGGAGAAGGCACAAGAATATAAGATTGGATGGTATAAGCACCTCTGATGAATTTGGGGAAGAAAAACTTTCACACGATCAAGCATTTCCATTCTTAAGATTAGAAGAGATTGCCCTCGCCACCCATAATTTCTCTGAAGCATGTATGATTGGACAAGGAGGCTTTGGAAAAGTTTACAAGGTAGCTTGTTTAATATTCAACTTCTGCTATTTCATCTAGATTCCGTGAAGTGATTCACTCATATGTAAATCTCAAATCAATATTTCTCTAGGGACAGTTAGGTGGTCAAGATGTCGCAGTCAAGAGACTTAGTAAAGATTCTCAACAAGGAACAAAAGAATTCAGGAATGAAGTCATTCTAATTGCAAAATTGCAACATAGAAACTTGGTTCGACTTCTTGGATGTTGTGGAGAGGGAGATGAAAAGCTCTTGATATACGAGTATCTGCCTAACAAGAGCTTAGATGCTACCATTTTTGGTACATATTCTAATAACAAAGCATGATTTCCTAAGACAACTCAAAAACACATTTTACTTACAATTGTTTCCTTTTCAGATGACTCAAGAAAACTGTCATTGGATTGGATGACACGGTTCAATATAATCAAAGGGGTTGCCAGGGGGCTTCTATATCTTCACGAAGACTCAAGGTTCACCATAATTCATAGGGACCTCAAAGCTGGAAATATTTTGTTGGATGCATATATGAAACCCAAAATAGCGGATTTTGGTATGGCGAGAATCTTTGCTGACAACCAGCAAAATGCAAATACCCAACGTGTAGTTGGAACATAGTGAGTATCCATTAAAAAAACTCATATTACCATTTTAGTAATTTCATTTCCCATTAGATAATTTGGACAACTGAAACAATCAAACAGTGGCTACATGGCTCCTGAGTATGCAATGGAAGGCGTATTCTCTTCCAAGTCTGATGTCTACAGTTTCGGCGTGTTACTACTTGAGGTTGTAACTGGTATAAGGAGAAACTCCAATAGTCAAACCATGGGATTCCCTAGCCTCACAGCATATGTAAGTACACACAAGACTTCTGTGTTATTTCTAAAACTGGATCGAATTTTGAATGAATACTCAGATGATGTTCTTGATTGCAGTCATGGCATATGTGGAAGGAAGAGAAGACCAATGAACTGCCAGATTCATGTATCATAGGTACTTCACCAGACGAAGTTTTGCTTTGCGTCCAGGTAGCACTGTTGTGTGTCCAGGAGAACCCAGATGATAGACCGCTCATGTCATCTGTTGTCTTCGTTCTAGAGAATGGAAGCACCACACTTGCAGCCCCCAACCGCCCTGCCTACTTTGCGCTACGAAGTGCTGAAATGGATCAAATGAGAAATAATATTCAGACTTCCGCCAACAGTTTTACTCTTTCTGAGATACAGGGGCGATGAAATAACAATTGTTTGTTACTGTATTCTGTATCGAACACTATGAAGGTGACCTGGACACAAATGATTAGGTTGTGGTGTTCTTGTTTGCTGTTCTTACATTCGTTCTGTGTGTACTTGTAAATAATGGCAGGACTGCCGGACAAAATTAGGGTGCATCATCTGTGTACGGAAGTATTACTCCCTCCGTTCCCAAATATTTATCTTTCTAGACATTTCAAATGGACTACAACATATGGATGTATATAGACATATTTTAAAGTGTAGATTCACTCATTTTGCTTCATATGTAGTCATTTGTTGAAATCTCTAGAAAGACAAATATTTGGGAATGGAGGGAGTAGACTTTTACCGATAGGCAATATCCACACTTCCATACTAAATTAGACTGACGAATTAGCATCCATGAAGGGTGTACGCTCCAATTCTAGCTCCATCAATCTATGCTGATAAGTTTTTCTGCTCATCTTTTTAAAACTATCCATGTGATCAACTTGGTAAGGTATGACTAGCGTGCTCGTACATTTGTGTATAGGCCTGACAAGTTTAACGTTTCACTCACTAGTCCGTGTATAGCATAATGTTTCAGTCACTAGTCTGCCTAGTCAGTAGTGACTGTGGCATCCCAACTCGGACGTGGAGAGCTGAAATGTCAACTCCAAAGCCAACCTATACTGCTAACAAAATTCCAAAAACTTTGCATTGTTCAGTCATATGCTTGCGTCCGTCAAAGGTATGTTTGCTCTTAGCATAGCAAGTCAGATCCTAGTACCAGGATTTTGGCCCCTGACAGCACGATGGATTGGCCGGCTCTCACCTGCTGCACCGCTGCACCGCGCTCATGATCCTTCTCTTCATGCCGTTGAGTGCATCCGACGACCGGCTTGTCCTTGGCAAGCCGCTCTTGTCGGACGCCATCATCGTCTCCGATGGTGGTGCCTTTGCTTTGGGGTTCTTCGCCCCTTCCAACTCCACTCCAGGCAAGCTGTACCTTGGCATATGGTACAACGAAATTCCCGAGCTCACTGTGGTGTGGGTCGCCAACCGAGAAACCCAGCTAATTAACAACACTTCCTCTTCACCGATGCTCTCGCTCACCAACACCTCCAATCTCATTCTCTCCGATGGTGATGGTGGCGGCCGTGTCGTCTGGACTACCAAGGTGGCCACTACCACGTTCTCGTCTTCCTCAACGGCGGTGCTTTTGAATACCGGCAACTTCGTTATTCGCTCGCCAAACGGCACCATGTTGTGGCAGAGTTTCGAGCACCTGACAGACACGCTTCTTCCAGGGATGAAGATCCGGTTTAGGTATGGGATACATGGCGAAGAAGAGCGCCTGGTGTCTTGGAAGGGCTCCGACGACCCTTCACCAGGACGCTTCTCCTACGGTGGTGACACAAACACTCTCCTCCGGTTCTTCCTTTGGGACGGGGCGCAACCGGTGGCCTGCAGCGCCCCGTGGACAGGCTACCTGGTGAAGACCGAGCGGCGGTACCAGCAGTTGAACACCAGCACTGAAGTCATCGTCTACCTGGCCGCCGTCGACAGTGACAAGGAAATCTACATGACCTACAGCCTCTCCGACGGTGCCCCACGCACCAGGTTTGTGCTAACTCACTCCGGCCATTATCAACACCACAGCTGGAGCAATAGGTCGTCCACGTGGGAGGTCCTTGGGCAGTGGCCGTCCACTGAATGCAGCAGCTACGGCTACTGTGGCCCATATGGCTATTGCGACGAGACAACAGCACCAGTCTCAACGTGCAAGTGCCTAGATGGTTTTGAGCCAGCAAACATCGAGGAGTGGACCAGCGGCAGGTTCTTGTCAGGGTGCCGGCGGAAACAACCGTTGGGTGGGTGCGGTGATGGCTTCTTGGCCTTGCTAGGGATGAAGTCACCAGACGGGTTTGCACGCATCGGCGGTAGTAGGAGTACGTCCGAGGAGTGCGCAGCAGAGTGCAACCGCAACTGCTCCTGTGTGGGGTACGCGTACGCCAAATGAGCAGCAGCAGGTCCGAGGGAGACGTGGCAAGGTGCTTGGTGTGGGCAGGGGAGTTGATTGACACTGGGAAGTTAGGCACAGAGCTCGGTGGAGAGACGCTCTATCTCCGGCTTGCAGGCATGGATGTAACTGCTGGTACGAAATACTTCCTCCATTCCCTTATAGAAGGCCATTATGAAAAATATATTTTGCATCTATATAAGACCACTAACAATAACTCAGGCAAAATTTAATGATATTTTTTCGTACTAGCAACTTATTTAATACTTACATTCATTTAGTCATAATAATACTGTGCTACTTCTTTCTCATTTCTTCCTTGCATACATGCGGGCGTATTAATGATCTCAGTAAACAAAAAGAAAAATTGGCTTGCAATTAAATTTTATTTAGGTACTCCCTTCGTCCCGGTGTATAAGTCATTCGCATAGTTCTAAATCATCGATTTGAGGATTAAATATGTGTTATATGTCATGAAAAGTATATCACTAGATTTCTACACGGATGTAATTTCTAAATGGGAAATGGTCGCTCAACTTTTTTGATAGTATAGAAATGGTCCCTAAACTGTAAAATCAGCAAATCTTAGTCCCTCAATTTTTGTTACCGGATAAGTTTAGTCCCTTCGGGTGGTTTTCCGCTGACGTGCAGTCTTTTTGACTCTGCGCGGTGGATGTCGACCATGACGCCATCCCTTCCGGCCGAAGCAGCGCCCAACACACGGTCATTCTACTGTACAAAGCTAGCCTCGTACTAGCTCGCTCGTGTATAAAGCAAGCTCTCCCTGATGCGCTTCTGGCTCTTGAGTAATTAGTTAGGCCGTTGATTTTTTTTCCTGTTTTCTTCCCATTCACTTAGCAGGGCACGAGCTCACTATTTTGTATTGAGGCCGTGCGCGTCGAGTCCGGCAGCTGCATCCATGACGTTGCATGTCACTGCAAGTCTCTAGCTGCGCGTCAAGTTGTTCGCTGCACAAACTACTCGAGTACTGATGTTCACATCAGAGTGCACCTGAGCGTGTGAGTTGAGAGCTAACACTGGCCGGTGCTTTTGGCCCGAGAGGAATCAGCTTAGATCAATTAACGTGCATACGTAAGCTAGTTGTCTGCTTTGCTTTTATTGCGCCCATGCATCGACATGTAATCGTATCTACTACTCCCTCCGTTCGGAATTACTTGTCGCAAAAATAGATATATCTAGACGTATTTTAGTTCTAGATACATCCATTTCTAAGACAAGTAATTCCGAACGGAGGGAGTACGAGCGAACCACATCAAGCCAGCGCTGCAAGCCCACTCTCGTCGGAAAGTCGCGTTGCCGCCGTCTAGCAGGATGGCACCCGGACGATCTCGCCATCGTCAAAGTCAGACAGGCATATGTCGCAGCTGGCACGCTCACTGTTGCTGCTTTGCTTGTGCGCCCACGAGGCGGGGCGTAAGTGGCGACGGGGAGCGCGATGAGGCCCGGCAGCGCGCAACCTTCCCCTGGCTCTTACTTTTTTTCTTCTGTAGGGTGTATACCATAATACCACACCAGGTCAGCAGAAAACCATATCAAAAACAACACGAGGGACTAAATTTATCCGGTTTTAAAAGTAAAGGGACTATGTTTTGCTGGTTTTGAAGTTAAGGGATCGTTTCTCTACTTTCAAAATAGTTGAGGGACAAAAATATACTTTTCCTTTTCTAAATATATATTTTTGTCAAATATAATACATATTTAGATAGTTAAATTATCGATCTAGAACTACGTGAATGACTTATACATTGAGATGGAGGTAATACATGTAATTTGAGTTTGTGGCCTTGTATAAGGGAATGGAGGGAGTACTAATTTGTCCCTCTTATTTTATTGGTTTTTTTATTTCTCTATTTCTCCCTAATGGTTTTGTCAACATATTTCTAGATCTATCTTTATAAGTTTCTTTCTCTTGTGGTATGTATTATATAGGTAAAAGGATAAAGAGCAATGCAGTTAGAATTGTACTGCCAGTTTTAGGCAGCAGTGTTCTCGTACTCATCTTCCTGGCATGGTTAAAATTAAAAGGTATGTTCACTTCACATCCTTACGAAAAAGATGCATTTAACCAATTTAAAATAATTTCCAATTGACAACGTGATTCAGGCTTTGAAACAAAACAACAATGCCTTGCACATTTAGCCAATTGGGGATTTGGGGGATGATTTAATGAATGATGACCTAAGTGGAATTTAGGGGAATAAAATTAGGAATGATTCAAATCGATTTACCTGAGAAGCTTGCAAGGATTCAGATGACTTCCGATAAAGAGTTGGCCAGCTGGGTAGCCGCCTCGCTGCCGTCGCCAACTCGCCCGATGTGTGGCCGCCTGGACTGGCTGGAAGTTGTGTGCCGGTCCCCGGTGGGCCGTCTGAGTGGACGTGGGAGGCACGGATGTGCGTGTGCGCCGGTGGCCAGTGGCCTACAGCCGGCGCCATGGCAGCTGACGACTGCACTATGAGGGGGCGGCAGGTGGCTGCTCTTAGCCGCCCGCTGCAAATCTTCTTTTCCGCGGGACGAGTGTTTTTTTGTGTTGGGGTCGAGGAATGAGTGCTCACTCGAAAAAAGCACATTTAGACATTTCAAAAAAATTGAAATTATTTGACAACATTCATGTCGGGTATGTCTACAGCTCCCAAAAATCAGCTCAAAACTCGATGTACATTTACAGATTCAAAAAGACAAATTGGAATGTTAATAGTAGCAGCTTTGGGTGAATAGTACTTTGACAATTCACATCTGATTTTTCTTTTTTCGTTCTATTAAGGTAAGTTGAATTAGGAGCTGAAATTAACTTTGTGAGGTTGTACATCAAACATTCATGTGTGTCTACAAAAAATTTCAGGATATTTTAGCATGTAATTTAAAAAAAATGATCTCATAGATCTCACCTAATGTGAGATCTCGCACAATCTTCCCTCCATATCAGATTTGTGTCGTATTTTTGTATTGGTGTCCGTCGTCGTGGCCTGGGCTTCATATTTTTTTATTTTGCTTCGGACCTGGGCGAGCCATGGCCCGCACGGCCTTGTGGAAGCTCGGCCAATGGACCTAAACATGGAGTTCGACATGTACTACTATCTAGCATAATATACTCTTCTCTAAAAAAAAGCTAGCATAATATACCACGATAAGCTTAAAAAATCTTCTAAACCACTTGATTAAGTAAAATTACAACAATTTTTTTAAAGATTTTAGATTTAGCCGCCATGAGAGCGATGTAATGATAATAGACAATCTATTACTCCACCATAACTATTTGAACTGAAAAAACTCTCATAGTTAGTTACAGAGGTAGTAGAAATTAGATGAAGTCCACATGCGGGAGTTTATATGCGTCGATCGAATTTTGAGGTTGCTACTTCCCATGCTCAAGTAATCACAATTTTAGAAATACTCGATATTGAAGGGACTACGAGACAAGAAAAATGTCTGGACACAGTGCAAAATGGACTTGAGGGTTTGTTTGTATGATTTTCGTGGGATAGGAGAAGAAGGGGCTTAAAAAAAATTCCATCAAGTTGTCTTTGATCGGTATCCATTTTATCTGGACAGCCATTTTCCATGGTGGTAGAGGTGCCTTATGGTTTATTTTGTCTTGTTTTGGGAGGCTCACAAAGGGAAGACTAATGAACATAAGTGGTTCAATAGTCAAATTTATTTCTTATGCTTATAAGATGCTCTTGGAAGGGAAATGACTATTAAATTGTGGAAGCAGGAAAGAAAGTAACATGGAGAAATCGCAAGAATATAAGAGTGGATGGTATGAGTACCTCTGACGAACTTGGGGAAGAATACCATCCCCATGATCAAGAATTTCATTTTGTAAGATTAGAAGAGATTGCCCGTGCAACTCAAAATTTCTCTGAAACATGTATCATTGGAAAGGGAGGCTTCGGGAAAGTTTACATGGTAACTTGACAAATATACAATTTCTTGTTATTCACTATATATTAGAAGAGTAGAGATGTTCATATGTCAAAGTTAAATCTAAGATTTCCATTATATTTTGCTAGGGAATATTAGGTGGTCAAGAAGTTGCTGTCAAGAGGCTAAGCAAATATTCTCATCAGGGAACACAGGAATTCAAGAACGAAGTAATTTTAATTGCCAAATTGCAACATAGAAACTTGGTTCGCCTTCTTGGATGTTGTGATGAGGGAGATGAAAAGATCCTAATATATGAGTATCTTCCTAGTGGAAGCTTAGATGCCACCCTCTTTGGTATATATACGACTACTAAAACCATGATTTCATAAGACAACTGAAAAATCATTCTATCTAACATTTGTTTTTCTATAGATGACTCCAAAAAAATGTTGTTGAACTGGGGAACACGGTTTAGTATAATCAAAGGGGTTGCAAGGGGTCTTCTCTATCTTCATGAAGATTCAAGGTTAACCATAATTCACAGGGATCTCAAGGCTGGAAATATTTTGCTAGATGCAAATCTGAAACCTAAGATTGCAGATTTTGGTATGACGAGGATCTTTGGTGAAAACCAACAAAATGCAAATACCCAACGTGTTGTTGGAACGTAGTGAGTAACCTTGTATAACATCATTTCATGTTACCTTGTGACCAAATTCATCTTCCATTTGCTAACTCTTTTGTTTAAAACGGTCAAGAAGTGGCTACATGGCCCCTGAGTATGCAATGGAAGGCATTTTCTCTATGAAGTCTGACATCTACAGCTTCGGCGTGTTACTACTAGAGGTTGTAACCGGTATAAGGAGAAACTCTAATGGACACACAATGAGTTTTCCTGGTCTCACGGTTTATGTGAGTACAGACAAGATTACTCTCAAGTTTAATTTTATAATTATATCAATATTTTTGAATTTTTTGATTCAGGAAACTCAATAAAAAAGCGATATTTATTTTTTTTATTTTTGTAGGCATGGAATATGTGGAAGGAAGGAAAGACAGAGGAACTGGCAGACTCGTCTCTCATGGATAACCATTCACCAAATGAAGTTTTGCTCTGCATCCATGTGGGACTCATGTGTGTCCAAGAAAACCCAGCTGACAGGCCACTCATGTCAAATGTTGTGTTCGTCTGGGAGATCGGAAGCACAACACTTCCAGCCCCCAACCTCCCTGCCTACTTTGCACGACGAAGCGGGAAAATAGAGGAAAACAGGGTTGATATTCGAAACTCCGTGAATAGTTTTACTCTTTCTGAGATACAAGGGCGGTGAAGTAATTTTGATTTGATATTATATGTATTAGAAAAAAAACTATTATATTGCCAGGAAAAGAAACAAAATGGCCATGCACCAGTTGGTTTGGGGCCATTATCTGCTAATAGTTTCTTTTATATTCCTCTTTCAGTATTATTCTTGGGGAACATAGCAGAAATTCAAAATTTTCCTACGAGTCACCAAGATCTATCTATGGAGAGACTAGCAACGAGGGGAAGAATAGTGCATCTACATACCCTTGTAGATCGCTAAGCGGAAGCGTTCAAGAGAACGGGGTTGAAGGAGTTGTACTCGTCGTGATCCAAATCACCGGAGATCCTAGTGCCGAATGGACGGCACCTCTGTGTTCAACACACGTACAGCCCGGTGACGTCTCCCATGCCTTGATCCAGCAAGGAGAGAGGGAGAGGTTGAGGAAGACTCCATCCAGCAGCAGCACGACGTGGTGGTGGAGGAGCGTGGCAATCCTGCAGGGCTTCGCCAAGCACCGCGAGAGAGGAGGAGCACTTGGGAGAGGGGGAGGGCTGCGCCAGGGGCAAGGGTGAAGCTCCCATGCGCCTCCCCACTATATATAGGGGTCGAGGGGGCTGGTTTCTTGCCCTCCAAGTCCATTGGGGCGTTGGCAAAGGTGGGAGGAAAGAAATCACATCATTTACTTCCCCACCGATTGTTATCCCCCCTTTTAGGGATCTTGATCTTATCCCTTCGGGATATGATCTTATTCCTTCTAAGGGGGGATCTTGGTGCGCCTTGACCAGGGGTGTGGGGCCTTGCCCCCACTACCCACGTTCATGTGGGCCCCACTCCGGAACCTTCTAGAACCTTCCCGGTACAATACCGAAAAATCCCGAACATTTTTCGGTGGCCAAAATAGGACTTCCCATATATAAATCTTTACCTCCGGACCATTCCGGAACTCCTCGTGACTGTTGGAAATATGCCCTAGAGGCAATAATAAATTAGTTATTATTATATTTCCTTGTTCATGATAATCGTTTATTATCCATGCTATAATTGTATTGATAGGAAACTCAGATACATGTGTGGGTACATAGACAACACCATGTCCCTAGTAAGCCTCTAGTTGACTAGCTCGTTGATCAATAGATGGTTATGGTTTCCTGACCATGGACATTGGATGTCATTGATAACGGGATCACATCATTAGGAGAATGATGTGATGGACAAGACCCAATCCTAAGCCTAGCATAGAGATCGTGTAGTTCGTATGCTAAAGCTTTTCTAATGTCAAGTATCTTTTCCTTAGACCATGAGATTGTGCAACTCCCGGATACCGTAGGAATGCTTTGGGTGTACCAAACGTCACAACGTAACTGGGTGACTATAAAGGTGCACTACAGGTATCTCCGAAAGTGTCTGTTGGGTTGGCACGAATCGAGACTGGGATTTGTCACTCCGTGTAAACGGAGAGGTATCTATGGGCCCACTCGGTAGGACATCATCATAATGTGCACAATGTGATCAAGGGGTTGATCACGGGATGATGTGTTACGGAACGAGTAAAGAGACTTGCTGGTAACGAGATTGAACAAGGTATCAGTATACCGACGATCGAATCTCGGGCAAGTACTATACCGCTAGACAAAGGGAATTGTATACGGGATTGATTGAGTGCTTGACATCGTGGTTCATCCAATGAGATCATCGTGGAACATGTGGGAGCCAACATGGGTATCCAGATCCCGCTGTTGGTTATTGGCCGGAGAGTTGTCTCGGTCATGTCTGCATGGTTCCCGAACCCGTAGGGTCTACACACTTAAGGTTCGATGACGCTAGGGTTATAAAGGAAGTTTGTATGTGGTTACCGAATGTTGTTTGGAGTCCCGGATGAGATCCCGGACGTCACGAGGAGTTCCGGAATGGTCCGGAGGTAAAGATTTATATATGGGAAGTCCTGTTTTGGTCACCGGAAAAGTTTCGGGTTTTATAGGTAACGTACCGGGACCACCGGGAGGGTCCCGGGGGTCCACCAAGTGGGGCCACCGGCCCCGGAGGGCTGCATGGGCCAAGTGTGGGAGGGGACCAGCCCCAGGTGGGCTGGTGCGCCCCCCCACAAGGGCCCAAGGCGCCTAGGGTTTGGGGAGGGGGTGCTTCCACCTAACTTGGGGGGCAAGTTTCCCCTCTCCCCTCCCTTGGCCGCCACCCTAGATGGGTTTGGGCTGGCCGCCGCCCCTAGGGGTGGAACCCTAGGTGGGGGCGCAGCCCCCCCTCTCCCCCTATATATACTTGAGGTCTTGAGGGTTGCCAACACATGAGTTTTCACCTCTCCCAGGCGCAGCCCTACCTCTCTCCCTCCTCCTCTCCCGCGGTGCTTGGCGAAGCCCTACTGGATCACAACGCTCCTCCATCACCACCATGCCATTGTGCTGCTGCTGGATGGAGTCTTCCTCAACCTCTCCCTCTCTCCTTGCTGGATCAAGGCGTGGGAGACGTCACCGGGCTGTACGTGTGTTGAACGCGGAGGTGCTGTCCGTTCGGCACTAGGATCTCCGGTGATTTGGATCACGACGAGTACAACTCCTTCAACCCCGTTCTCTTGAACGCTTCCGCTCGCGATCTACAAGTGGTATGTAGATGCACTCTCCTTCCCCTCGTTGCTGGTTTCTCCATAGATAGATCTTGGTGACACGTAGGAAAATTTTGAATTTCTGCTACGTTCCCCAACAGTGGCATCATGAGCTAGGTCTATTGCGTAGATTCTTTGCACGAGTAGAACACAAAGTAGTTGTGGGCGTTGATGTTGTTCAATATGCTTACCATTACTAGTCCAATCTTGTTTCGACGGTATTGTGGGATGAAGCGGCCCGGACCGACCTTACACGTACTCTTACGTGAGACAGGTTCCACCGACTGACATGCACTTGGTGCATAAGGTGGCTAGCGGGTGCCAGTCTCTCCCACTTTAGTCGGAATGGATTCGATGAAAAGGGTCCTTATGAAGGGTAAATAGCAATTGGCATATCACGTTGTGGTTTTGCGTAGGTAAGAAACGTTCTTGCTAGAAACCCATAGCAGCCACGTAAAACATGCAAACAACAATTAGAGGACGTCTAACTTGTTTTTGTAGGGTATGCTATGTGATATGATATGGCCAAGAAGAATGTGATGAATGATATGTGATGTATGAGATTGATCATGTTCTTGTAATAGGAATCACGACTTGCATGTCGATGAGTATGACAACCGGCAGGAGCCATAGGAGTTGTCTTTAATTATTGTATGACCTGCGTGTCATTGAACAACGCCATGTAATTACTTTACTTTATTGCTAACCGGTAGCCATAGTAGTAGAAGTAATGAGTTGGCGAGACAACTTCATGGAGACACGATGATGGAGATCATGATGATGGAGATCATTGTGTCATGCCGGTGACGATGATGATCATGGAGCCCCGAAGATGGAGATCAAAAGGAGCAAAATGATATTGGCCATATCATGTCACTATTTGATTTCATGTGATGTTTATCATGTTTATGCATATTATTTACTTAGAACGACGGTAGTAAATAAGATGATCGCTTACAACAATTTCAAGAAGTGTTCTCCCCTAACTGTGCACCGTTGCTAAAGTTCGTCGCTTCTAAGCACCACGTGATGATTGGGTGTGATGGATTCTTACGTTCACATACAACGGGTGTAAGACAGATTTACACACGCGAAACACTTAGGGTTAACTTGACGAGCCTAGCATGTACAGACATGGCCTCGGAACACAGAGACCGAAAGGTCGAGCATGAGTCGTATAGTAGATACGATCAACATGAAGATGTTCACCGATGATGACTAGTCCGTTTCACGTGATGATCGGACACGGCCTAATTGACTCGGATCATGTAATCACTTAGATGACCAGAGGGATGTCTATCTGAGTGGGAGTTCATAAGATGAACTTAATTATCCTGAACATAGTCAAATGATCTTTGCAAATTATGTCGTAAGCTCGCGCTTTAGTTCCACTGTTTAGATATGTTCCTAGAGAAAATATAGTTGAAAGTTGACAGTAGCGATTATGCGGACAGTAGAAAGCTTATGTCCTTAGTGCACCGCTCAGTGTGCTGAACCCCAAACGTCGTTTGTCGATGTAGCGAACATCGGACATACATGTTTTGATAACTACGTGATAGTTCAGTTAAATGGTTTAAGTAGAGGCACCAAAGACGTTTTTCGAAACATCGTGGAACATATGAGATGTTTCGAGGGCTGAAATTGGGATTTCAGGCTCGTGCCCATGTCAAGAGGTATAAGACCTCCGACGATTTTCTTAGCCTGCAAACTAAGGGAGAAAAGCTCAATCGATGAGCTTGTGCTCAGATTGTCTGAGTACAACAATCACTTTAATTGAGTGGGAGTTGATCTTCCAGATGAGATGGTGATGTTTCTCCAAAGTCATTGCCACCAAGCTGCTAGAGCTTCGTGATGAACTATAACATATCAGGGATAGATATGATGATCCTTGAGGTATTCACGATGTTTGACACCGCGAAAGTAGAAATCAAGAAGGAGCATCAATTGTTGATGGTTGGTGATACCACTAGTTTCAAGAAGGGCAAGGGCAAGAAGGGACACTTCATGAAACGGCAAATCAGTTGTTGCTCCAGTGAAGAAACCCAAGGTTGAACCTAAACCCGAGACTAAGTGCTTCTGTAATAAGGGGAACAGTCACTGGAGCAGGATTACCCTAGATACTTGGTAGATAAGACGGCTGGCAAGGTCGATAGAAGTATATTGGATATACATTATGTTAATGTGTACTTTACTAGTACTCCTAGTAGCACCAGGGTATTAGATACCGGTTCGGTTGCTAAGTGTTAGTAACTCGAAATAAAAGCTACGGAAAAAACGGAGACTAGCTAAAGGTGAGCTGACGATATGTGTTGGAAGTTTTTTCCAAGCTTGAAGTGATCAAGCATCGCATGCCCCCTCTACCAACGAGATTGGCGTTAAATCTAAATAATTGTTATTTGGTGTTTGCGTT